CTTTTTTTTTTTTTTTTTTTTTTTTTATCGAATTTCGTTTTTTATTTTTTTTAAATCGTAAGTGAAGTCGGATTCCAAAATAAAAGACATAGGATTGTAGTCCAAGCCCTACACCCCTATATGTATATATATATTTTACGTATTTTTAGGGGTAAAAAAAATATATTGAAAAACCAGGCCGCGGACTGGACCTCATCGGCCGCGGGCTTTTTCGACCGCAGCGGCCGAATTGCCCGCGGCCTAGGCTGCGGGTGTCACATAGAATTTGTCAGACAGAACTGAAATCCCTCGTGTTGGTCCGATTTTAGTAAGACGAAGGTCCGTCGCTGCGCGGGTTTAAGGGAGAAAAAGGCACGCGCGGGACTCGCGGCTATGGGAAATTCAATCCAAAAAGTATCGTTGAACTTCCCAGCGAGCCATCGCTCTTCGTTTCGCGTGAAAGGGGGCGGGTACACACGTGGCATTACGTTTACGGACGAGGTCTCATCGGCGCTCGTTACACAACTCCGAATCCGATGTGGAGGGCGTTAACCGAGTAGCCCTCTCCTTATGCTCGTCCTCGCCACGTGTGCGGTAGTGGAAACCCTTGGCTTGGTAACGCTCGAAGCGGCGACAATCGCTGCACAGAGTGTTAGGCAAATGAGTCTCTACTGTCTTCCATGGGACGGCGATCAACTCATTAAATGACAACAACAACGAATAGGGCGGAAAGTGCATATCAACAATAACGAATAGGGCGGAAAGTGTGTATCAACAATAACGAAACCCGCACTGACGAACCCAGAACACCAAGTTTCGGGAGGAAAATAGTAGCGCCCTCCGATCTTGGCGACGGTTTCTCGTACGTCTCACTCGCATACACGTATCCTTTCTTCGCTGTACGGGAAGGGACGTGGTGGGGGCACGGGGAGTTGGCGGCCGGTCGGGTTGAGGCCGTCAGTCCACATGGCAACAAAGGCAAGCACAAAATTTTTTCCTTAATCATACATCATTCGTTCGACACTCCAGACAGCCAGATCATCCAACCGATCAGCCAATCATCCTCCAAATCATGCTACAACAAACTCTCTAATGCGACCCACCGCATGCACATATCAAAGTGAGAGAAGCAAAGTTACCATAATTTATTCATTATAACAAAACGTGACAGAAGAAGAGAGCGAGGGAGAATAGACGTAGATCAGAGGGGAGGAACGATTATGAATCAATCAAAGAATGTCTGACGATCTTGTCAAGGGAAATTCCGACTTAAAAGCCGAGTGATCAGAACGCACGCTCGAAGATACAGATTGTGGGACAAAAAGAGGCACTTCCATCATAACATTCCACTATGGCCTCAGGCCATGCACTCACTCACTTTCGATTCGAACTTCTCACAAGCACTGACGATCCCGGTCGTCACGTGCTAATTCACCATAGCGATCGTCACCCCGCCAACATAGTCTCTGCATGGTCTGACCTGGATCCCACAGTTCGTCGGGCGATCCAGCGCTCCGCCGCCAAGGCTACAGTCAGCTTGTCGAGACTTTTCGATTCGCACCTTCCCACATACCGCCTAGCCACGACTTCCCGGAAGTTGGCTGATGAGTCGAGAGAGAGTTTTTCGGGAGCGCCTGCGGAATTTATAGTTGTGGAAAAGGAGATAGACGCTAGGAAGGGTTAGGACTGAGGTCGGGAGGGGTGAAGGAAGGTTCAGGGACACTCGCCTGACGAAAGCCATGTCTATCATTTGGATCTTTCTTGCAGCCAATCAAAATCGTCGTGTATCAAGAATTTCCTTCTTACACGGCGCGTCTCCTTGGCTAGAGGGAAGGAGGAGGGAGTCGACAGAGTATTTTGGCGCGAGGAGTAGAGCGGGAAGAAGAAGAGCGTGAAGGATAATGAGAAACGGACATGGTCCAAGATTTTGACGATCGAGAAAAAGAAAAGGCGCGCGAGGCGAGGGTGAGAT